TGAAGAGCCCCCTCAACTTTCTATTAAGGAGAATATACAAACTGATAAATGCAGGTGGTCTGAATTTATTCCTTCTTATATGCCAAATGGACTTCCACCAGCAAATTTGGTACAAAAAGCTACTCATCACATTAGGTACAAATTCTAAAGCTAAAACTTTAGAAAGCCTTTAGAAAGTACATATATGCTTTGAAATATTATTCTAAAAATTCCAATTTTTCATAATGAAATATGCTATTCCCCACACCCCTAATGCAATAAAATAAAATGAAAAATAAAATAGTATTTTAAAATACGATATTCATGACCTTAAATTTAATGTATTTTGTATACATAGCTTCCAAATTTCATGTATTTCATGATTTCCCGTATAATAAAACCCCAACAAGGTTTTGTATCATTCAAACTCAAGCAAGAGTGGCGCGCAGCCGCATGCATAGTACGGAAAATTGCTCCTCCTGTGAAGAAGGTTTAAATTGGAGTGTCAAATGTTAAAGGAAAGAAATGCCGAATTGATCATTGAATTTGAGTTAATTAAAGATGAAAAAAAGGATTTGCAAAAAGATATTGATGAATTAATGTGTGGGATGTTCAACATAAAGAAATGTGTGAAAGGGATGCGTTATTACGAAGTCAGTGGGAACAGTATAAAAGTTATTTTAATGATGAAAGGAGATATCTTCAGAAGGATATTAATATAATTAGAAATTTTACGTGCTGAGATTTTTGAAAAAAATGCTTTCATCTTTTATTTGTTTGAAGGCATTTATGGTTTTGCTATCTATGTATCCCTATCATTCTGTCTTATGGGTTCTGTATGACGTATGCTTCTAGGATTGCACTATCTAATGAATAGAACGAGGAGACCAAGGCAATGCTTTCTTCTGACGGTTTCTGACTGAAAACCACGTCTGCCAGAGCACACAAGATGTCTTGATTGTTGCTTTGAAAGCGTGTTTGCATCTCTAGAATAACTTTGTCCAATGTCGGGTAGTAGGTTGTAATCCTGTAATGACTCTCTGGAGTTGGTTGTTGGTGCAGAGTTGTAGTGGATGACTCGCCAATTAGGGCCTGCAATCGATGCGACGGAACTCTGTTTCTTGGGGGTGAAGCATCTTTGACTGAAAATCTGGTACCCTGAATTTCTTTCTTAATGTTATTTGCCATAACATGCGCTCTTAGCCAAAGCATGTGGAATCCTTCTTCACTTCGGCAGCCTTCAAGAGCTTTGATAGTTGAGTCAGTGTTTTTTTTTGGCTGTGATAGCATCCATGTTCTTGCTTTGTAGGTACTTGGAGAGACTGTCTGTATTTGACAGGACAACTCTTAGCAATAACAAACCAAACACAAAATTAAAATTGCAAATTGAGATTAGCAAGTTATTGCTGCCAGTATAGGTTGTGGGATCGTGATCACCACTACTTAAGATAAGTGATTGAATAATTCTTGTCATCTGTTCGACCACTTCTCTCACAGCCTCGGAACGGCACGGCCATCTTGTAACACTTAAGGATTTAAGGGTTAGATTGATGTGATCTTTCTCAATCTCCAAGTCTTGAAAAATTCAACGACGCTTAGGACTTGCTTCAAGAAACGTATACAGTTTCTGTACTGTTCCAAGGGCATTGCGGGCTGACTCGACAGATTTCATTGTAAACTACCAAAGGAGAACACTCTTTCATACGTGTCGCCAGTCCCTTGTGAACTCCACTCATATTAGCAGCGCCATCGAAGCATTCTCCAACAATATTTTCAAGTTTTAGCTCTAAGTTGACAATTGCTTTCTTCACAAGTTCAAAGAGAACCTCTCCTTCAGTTGATGTGGTTGTGAAAAATCCAACAAACGTTTCTAATGTTTGGCTTTGAAGCATGCTTTTCAACCATGCTAAATCCTTACAGCAAAAGTGAAGAGATTCAATGATATAGCATCTTCTTTCTTCATGTCCTCTCAATGGTGAGTTCTGTTGAACATTGTGCATGAGACATTCTATGATAATTCGCAGATAACGCCGGTTGCAGTCAACGTTTTCCTTGTGGGCTCTATTAAGTTGTTCGAGCACTGATGTACTTCATGATTTATTGGCTTTAAACAATGCCCATTTTGTTATTGTAGTGATGTGTTTATCAGAGTTACCGAGTTTACAAAGCCTTTCTGTTTTTTTTCCAATTGCTATACACAAAGGAATTGTTGTAACCAAACTGTTTGCAGGGAAAGCATATGCACTGGTCATTATTTGGTTCTTAGCTGAGCCAAGTATGCGCTTTATACCATAGAGGATTGAACTTATGGGAAAATGTTTCATTTCCAAACCTTTTCGCTGGGTACTCATGTAAAATTGGCTGGTTTGGGCCATTGGCATTAGCTTCAAACATTAACAGCAAAGGCTCTGCACATTTTGTACTTTCTTCAATTATACCAATTGAATCACCAGAGCATGCTGGCTCCAGTATTTCTTTATCAGGGGATATATTTTCCAGGTTCGGTGACTTTGTCGTCTCTAGTTCAACAATCATGTCTGGTTCAATATTGGAATAGCTCAATCCGGGTTGGTTTTTTCCCCTTGTTCCTATTGTTCCTACTGCTGCAGCCGGTCTCGAAACGATGATGGTTTTTCCGCTGTTGCAGTGGTACTAAGCAGAAGTCTATTTAACTGTGATTGCAAAGCATCTACCAGGGGAGCGAACCGCATTTTCTGTCCACTATGAACATTTTTCATGTGGGTGTTAGCATGGTCTACATTAATTTCTGCTTGGCATTCATCACACTTGACTCGATGCGATAGGCCTGTTTACGAGGCCCAGATTTTCAAGACGTGATTATTCTTATTATTCTTGGATATAAGTAGAAAAAGGAAACTGGAAAAATTAAATTTCATCGATTTAACCTTTTCCTTCAGTCAGCAGAATTAAAACATATAAGAATTAATGAAAACACTTTCATATGTACAAAAAATGTATGCATGAGTACCGTAAATCTGGCATATCCCATGTATTTTGTGCCATCCACTTATCGCACAAACCAAACGTCAGTACAGGAATTTTTTAAGTATGCTTAATTAAAAAAAGCTGTTGCCTCAACGCCCTCGCCGTTAACGCTGTATGTGAGCGTATGCCACCTTATGGGCCATTACCTAGCATATCAGTGTATGTCAGCGTATGTATTACGAATTATATTTTTCATACGCTGGCGTAACTGCATACGGTACTTTATCATCTTTCACACTTTTTAGGCACTTTGATAAATTGATTTACATTAGCTCATAGCGAAGCACGTAATCTAAAAGGGGAAAGCGTTTAGCGTTTTGCTGACTTTAGGCTCTATACAGTTTAATGAGTTTATATTTAAAATTAGGAAAATATTCTGCTTTTCATTAATGCTTATATATTGCAACATACGTTCTCCAATTTTCATAACAGTACTGTCAATGCATACCTTAAACAATGCAAATGCCAGTATAATAGCATACAATGGTATAATAGCTTGATATACAGAATTACAGATTACAATGATACGCGTTCGGTTGCGTGCAATTATAACTTAGGTCAATATGTTTCACAATGAATGAATAAATAAATTATGTACAGTACAGTTGCTATAAATATTGAGAAATTGAGAAATTTTCAACTTGAAAAAAAATGAGTTTAAGTTTTGGCAGCGATTGGCGGTTTTTTATTAATTTCTCAAAAATTCAATTGAAACAAATTGAAAAAATTTATATCAATCATCTTGAATTATTTGAGACTTTTTTTTCTGCATGCAACTTTAAAACAGTCGATTTTGTATATATAATTTTTAAGGAAATTTCCATGACAATTAAGTTTATTTGTATTTGTGAATATGAAGACAGTACTAATGGTGCTTTTACAAATGAAGAAACTAATTTGCATTTTGTGTTATCAGATGGATATTAGTATCTGATTGAAATTAGTTTCTTCATTTTTCAATATGGCACAAAGGGAAGAAGATATTGAGTTATGTAAATCAATGTTATACAGAAATTCACAAGGAAAAAATTATGCTGGAAATTTATTTTACATAAAAAGCATAAAAAAGGGGGGAGAAATAAAAAAAGAATCAATAGACAACTTGCATTATAGGATTCGCGCCGCTAAGCATGATGGTAGGAGGCTGTAAGTTGCTTTCAAACGAAATGGCCGGCGTTGGAGCGGGCAATTTCATTTGGAGGAATATATGGCAGTTTTTAGACTATTTATTGCTTCAATCGACATTCGTTTTCCTATGGGAAATAACAAGGGTGCTATGCACTATATTCTGAGAGAATTTGAGGAGTTTTTATCCATTAGCAACCGAGAAAATACTCCGAGAGTGACACGCTTTGAAAACTTACTTTGAAGAATTTACTAGGGGAAATTTCGATCTCCGCAACAAAAGCAGGTGAGTTGGCCTTTCATTATGCGATCGGCTGAATTTTATTTCAAAATATGATGCTCGGATAGTGCGTTGCATTTGATCTCACAGTTATTTTGCATGTTCGCGCATTAAAATGGCATTTTTGACCTCCTGAAATTTACAACCTCTGTCGCATTTGTGTTTGAATTTGCTATTGAACCCATAGAGACTTCACTAAATGTTTATATTTGTTTTGGCGCGAAAATACACGAAATTCAAATTCAAGTCGTCTTCTTGTGGCACAAAAATTGAAAGATAGACGTTTTCTGGGTTTTCTGCTGTTATTTATCCTTTAGCTGAAGTGTAACTGTTCTCCTCTCCTCCGGTACTAAATTTTGTATATAATACGTGAGTTCTATCGTAATTTTAGGCAAGATATAGTTCAATATAAATTTTTAAAGTAGCTTTAGATTTGTATATAAATTTTTTAATAAAATATTTAGTTAAATTATAAGTAGCTAGAAACAATTTAGGGTATCTATTAAATTTGTCAATATTTTAAATTAGTGTAGAATTGAATTAAATTTTAAATTTTTAGTCTAGGTCAGCTCAGTATTTAAATTTAAATTTCATATATAATATAATTATAATGGAGGTTGAACCACACACTTCACTTGAGGTAAATAACACTGAAAAAAGTGAAGTCACTGCAAGGTTATGGAAAAGATATTGTTGTATCCCACAATGCGAAAGCAACAATCGGAGAAACCCTGAACTGTCTTTTCATAAGATTCCAAAAAATCCTGATTTAAAGAAAAAGTGGGTAAGACTTTTGAAAAGAAAAGGTGTAAGAGATCCTAGTTCCACCCATAGGGTGTGTTCAATGCATTTTGTGGGAGGGAAGAAGACATATACCAACAACATTCCAACAATTTTTGCATCAACAAGTAAACCAAGAAAAAGGCCCACTGTAAGAGTAACAGTTGACAATAATAATTATTCACAATGTTCATCAAGTGAAACAAGTAAAGAAATAAGAGATGATGCAGTCACTAGTGAGATTAATTCTACAGTTGTTGAGATTGAGGATCCAATAAATAAAATTAAGAAGGAAATGGCTATACTTGAGGATGAGAAACAGCAGCTACAAAAACAGCATGAAGAAGATATCAAAAAAGTACAATTAAGTGCCTTCCGATTAGAAAGATTCATAGGCAGTGACAACGATTTTAGATTTTATACTGGATTTCCCAACTATTCAAGTTTTAAAGCTTTTTACGGGTACCTTTCTCCGGCCTGTGAACACCTTGTGTATCATGGTTCCAACACTGCTCCTATAACTTCGGCATCACAAACAAAATGCGGTAAACAAAGATCAATGTCTCCTGAACAGGAATTATTCCTTGTGCTCACAAGATTACGTTTGGGCTTACTTTTACAAGATATTGCTCACAGATTTAATATCTCGACAAGCAGTGTTTCTCGTATTTTTAAAACCTGGATTCCCTTTATGCATCAACGCCTTCGCACCCTCCCAATTTGCCCCAGCCGTAAATTTATTCAAGATAACATGCCTTCCTGCTTTAAGCACGTCTATCCTAACACAAGAGTTATTATTGATTGTACTGAGTTTTTCATTGAAACACCAATTTTTCTTCTCTTAACTACTGCACCGAAATTTGATGATGTGAGCCTCTTACTGCGCTCCTCAAACCATTTCTCACTGGAAGATTGATCCCTGGTATTTCTTTCAATTTGGAGTACTTCTGAGTGTGTAATTTTTGTAGCATGCTTTAATTCCTTTACTGTATCGCTGTAGCTATTTGATTTTTCAACTGAAATGGACTGTAAATTATCTAAAACTTCATCACGGATAGCAGTGTCATTAAGATTCATGGTGAGGGATTCAGTGTGTCTCTTTTTTGATGGAAGATTCTGGTGGGCAGCCTCAAATGCATATGGCTTTCAATCATTTGACTCTAGCAACTGTTCTAGATAGCTTTCCTCCTGATGAGAATTCAAACTGCATGCTAATTTCTTGATTTCAGTTTGTTGGATTACCTTAGTAAAATCTAGGGTGGTATTGTACACTTCATTGGGCAGTTGTGATCTTTTACGCTTATTATTGTTTTCAATATCCTTCTCATAGACAGCCTTTTTAAAAATAATGCTTTCATACAGGACTGCCTCATCAGACTCATTCTTTCTTGGTACATGCCATTGCTGTAATAATTGTGTGCAAGTAAGGTGATCCGGGACTTCGGTCAGGTCTAATTGTTTATATTCAATTATTTGAAACAGCAATGCAACAATGTGTTTGCATTTTCCACCTTTGCCAGCTTTACATGTGCAATTGCTATAAACAACCTCCCCATTAGCTTCATTTAAATGAACATATACAGTGTATGTTGTGTTTTTCATTGCAGCATTTACAATAGCTTTAACCAAAAAACATGACATGTTAGCTTTGATTACATTCCCTTTAACTTCAACCTGACCAACATATTTATCCTTGAACATTTGATATCCCAACTTTTTATATTTGTGAGCACCACCAGATTGTTCAGTTTCCAAATGTTTTGTTAATAGCTCATAATTAAAGGCTGGAAGGCCATTTAAATCCCTTGTCTACCTTTTTATTGTTGGTATTTCCATGTTATTTACCTCAAGTGAAGTGTGTGGTTCAACCTCCATTATAATTATATTATATATGAAATTTAAATTTAAATACTGAGCTGACCTAGACTAAAAATTTAAAATTTAATTCAATTCTACACTAATTTAAAATATTGACAAATTTAATAGATACCCTAAATTGTTTCTAGCTACTTATAATTTAACTAAATATTTTATTAAAAAATTTATATACAAATCTAAAGCTACTTTAAAAATTTATATTGAACTACATCTTGCCTAAAATTACGATAGAACTCACGTATTATATACAAAATTTAGTACTGGAGGAGAGGAGAACAGTTACACTTCAGCTAAAGGATAAATAACAGCAGAAAACCCAGAAAACGTCTATCTTTCAATTTTTGTGCCACAAGAAGACGACTTGAATTTGAATTTAGTGTATTTTCGCGCCAAAACAAATATAAACATTTAGTGAAGTCTCTATGGGTTCAATAGCAAATTCGAACACAAATGCGACAGAGGTTGTAAATTTCAGGAGGTCAAAAATGCCATTTTAATGCGCGAACATGCAAAACAACTGTGAGATCAAATGCAAGGCACTATCCGAGCATCATATTTTGAAATAAAATTCAGCCGATCGCATAATGAAAGGCCAACTCACCTGCTTTTGTTGCGGAGATCGAAATTTCCCCTAGTAAATTCTTCAAAGTAAGTTTTCAAAGCGTGTCACTCTCGGAGTATTTTCTCGGTTGCTAATGGATAAAAACTCCTCAAATTCTCTCAGAATATAGAGCATAGCACCCTTGTTATTTCCCATAGGAAAACGAATGTCGATTGAAGCAATAAATAGTCTAAAAACTGCCATATATTCCTCCGAATGAAATTGCCCGCTCCAGCGCCGGCCATTTCGTTCGAAAGCAACTTACAGCCTTCTACCATCATGCTTAGCGGCGCAAATCCTATAATGCAAGTTGTCTATTTGTTGAAGCTACAAGTACAAATCTAATTTTTTTGAGTAATTTGAATCAAGAAACAACTTTAAAACGAAATTCAGGAAAACAACAGATAAGAAAATCCCGAATCGATGCAAAAGTGTTAAAAACAATTTTTGGTGGAGATTAAGAAATGGTTTATCATCGAAGGAGATTACATCTATATCAACAAATGGGAGAAGGGATTTTCCAGGGAAAAAACGTAAACCTGGAAAGAAAAAACAAAGAGGGGGAAGAAAGAAAAGACAGATAGGGACATCAACTTTGGGGAATGTTTTAAAAGTTAACATTTAAGTAAAAAAATTGTAAGCGATTAAGAAAAAAATATATTATTAATTTTTAGTTTTGTCTGCATTTCATTTTATTTGTGTCATCATGGTGAAACGAAGTGCAGAGGAAGCAGGATTGAGTGACCCCGATCAAAGAATTGAAAAACAAGATAATGCTTACGCAACAGGGATTGAGTTATACAGAAATTTTCCTGTTGATAAAACATTTGTAGAAAATCATCATGAAATTATTAATGACACCCCTGTTGACCCGCTTGCTGATGTTTACAAATTCCATCACTCAGCAACACCATCCAGATTAATTTTAATAAACAAAGTACAAATTTCTGCTGATTGTCAATTAATGAATCATGTCACGAAAAATGCTGTGGCTGCAGTAGCTGATTCACAATGTTTATTAAAATCCCCATGTTTTTTATGCACCATGTGGAAAACGAAGGAGATTAGAATAAATCATACTTTAATTAACTTGTCAAGTAATTATGAGGGGTTACATGCATACCTTGAATGGTTAATGACTAAAACGCCAAACACTTACAATGACGGTCAGCAAATTAATCTCGCATACAGAGATACAGTGGGTGCTTTCAATTACGCTGATCACGGTGATCAAGTTTTTTCTCACAACCTTGGTGATGACCTTGGAAATTATGGTGCTGAAAGAAGACATTCTTTTGCAACAAGACCAAGAGCGTCATTTTATGCAGGGGATATTCTTGCTTGTCCCGTTTTTAAATGACCGTTTTTAAACGAAATGAACAAATGCGAACAGCAATAAATAACAGGATGGTTGATAAAGCTGAAGAGTGTAAATATTACACCTCGGAATATTGAAGCATTGTTCAAATGATTAATGCCAGCATTCGAAATTATCAAGCAGCCAATATTTTTAATGGAAAAACACCTTCACGTTTGTTTATTTTATTAATTGATCAAAGAGATTTTGAAGGTGGTTTTGCACGAAGCCCAAATAATTTTGTATGGGAAATTTAAAATTTGTTTCTGTTAAAGAAAATGGAAATGTTGTATATCCTGAACTTAAGAATTCGAAACAAGCATACAATTTTTTGCGTGATAATCTCGGAAAACAACAATTTGGCAAAATGCCTTTTCCTTACGAGGATTATGAAAATGGATATTCTGTGATAATGTTTGACTTAACATCAAATCGAAATAGTCATTTAAAAACTCTTCTGTTGAATATAACTGAAAATGTTTCGGTTGATTTACATTTTTCTCAAGATGTTGCAAATAATTTGCGTGTTGTATTTATAGGAGATTTTTGAAATCAAATTCACATTTCGTATCAACAGGAGCCTCAAAGACTGTATACATTAAAAAAAAAATAAGAAAAAAAAATTCAAGCCACAACCAAAAAATCACCAATGTGATATTTAAAATCAAAAAGATATTGTATTCATTATCCATTTGGTGTTGTTATTGATGGTGTCAGGTTTAAACGCCCGATTATACATAAAAAAATTCTGATATCGCTTAATGCGTAAGTAATGGAAAACAAAAGTAAGAGAAATGAACAAAAAGAAGAAACGGAAAATGAAGACGAACTTCCCCCCCAATCAGAAATTGAATTTGGTTCTGATTAAGAGAATAATTATGATGCTGGTAATAATGATGATGAATTCATTTATGAATTTGATGATGAAGAAATTAACATGCACACCTGAATCAATTGGAAATAATGAAGATGATGAAATGAGCAGTGATGAAGAAGAAATTCTATTTCGTCATTGGTTATGTCATAATGGAATCATGTGAGATGGCGCGCGCTATTTCTAATGTCAGTGCACAAACCGTTTTCTAATGATCAGCACATCTTTTGTACTTCGCTAAGTTCGCTTCAGCTTGCGACTAAAATAATTTATTTCTTTGCTGACCCTGCAGAGAAAACCGTGTTGTAAGTATACTCTATTGACTATGCGAACTTCCAAGGACGTAGACGACTCAGATCGCCACGAAAATGCCAAAGTCCTCTGACTCAGAGGTCGATGCCAGGGACGATGTGCTTGACAACAAGCAACCTTCAGAGGAAGAGACAGAAAAACTTCTCGAGTACGAATGTCCGAAGGAGGCGAATTTACCTAATTTGGCTGAGATTTTAAAACAAGTGTCGTCGAATATGACTCGTATGGACAAAAGAATGGACAACTTTGAAGCAGTTGTGAAAGGAAGGCGTACTAGACGTAGGTCGTCATCAAGTGACTCCAGCTTGTCGCGCTCTTCTTCCCCCTCAGAAAATGAACGGCGACACACCAAGAAACGTAAACGCTCTAAGAGCGAAGACAGAGGCTCTCCTAGCCCTAGCGTAGACAATGACGCTGAAAAACTTATACAATCGAGACCAGCCCGCCATTGGCGACACAAAACGCGACTCGCCAGAGGCTCAAGATGACCTTTTGAACGATATTGCAAAGGAGTTGAATGCTGATGAGACGTTAGGCTCACCTCTCCCGACTTAGCTGGCGGACATTGTAAATAAGCAATGGTCCGAGAACATCCGTCTGGGGACAAATAAGCCATGCAAAGAAACAACAAGACTTGCAACTCGCAAATGTACAACATGCCATCACTAAAGCTGGCACAGCTGTGACAAAGTGTATTGAGAACTTGCTCGACACACGCCAAAAAAGTACGCCTTTATTGGTGGACAAGCTTATTAAAACTGCCACACAGATGCCCTGGCACTTTTGGGGCACGCAAACATCGATTTGTCACTCCGCAGACGTGAATACTTACGCCCTTGTTTAAATCAAGAGTATTCTACACTCTGCTCGACGCAATATCCACCGACGAGCCTT